TCATTCTTTCAAAACTCTATTCTTAGTAATGATTCAGTGAAAAGAGTTTAAGTTACTAGTCCATTAAATAATCATCCTAGGAAATATTTCGAGGGATCAGTCAATGAATCAAGTGCATGTTTAATCAACTCGCCGATCCGATCGGTGCACTGATTATTTGGGTGGTATCTTATTTTTAGCCTCTCTTCCGGCAACAGCATCAAAAAATAAGTCAGTTAATTCAATCGTATCACTCATTGAATGATAAATTTGAAATTGATCAAACGAAGAAAAGTATGATCGGTGGTGTGGAAGGAGAGAAAAAGAGTTGGAAGAATGAACGAAACAAAAGTGTCGAAAATTGAAGTTACTTAAAAACCTGGATGTTTTTGCTTCGGGAGTGTCATCAGAAGAAAGTGGCGTTGATACTTTCACTGAATTGGACGAGGCGATATTGAGCAGACATTTAAAATTGGCTGATATTTTACTGGAATCAAGAAGATTGTGATCGGCGTCATTCACGTAGAATGTCGATTGTGATGTGTTCAAGTCTGCACAATCTAGAAAACGATATCACATAAAGTAAAGAATATAAACGATCGAACGTCAGCGAATACAAAATGAAATACTGCTTCGATCCTTGAATATACTAGTGCACATCAACATGCATCAAAAAAATTCGCATCATTTGCGAAAATTGAGTTGATATTCAATATGGGAACGATCTTCCACTGCGCATTCAACTTTTGTGAGGTGAAAACTGATATTTCGAAATCGCATCGAAACGGGATGAGATGGATGCTGCTATTCTGGGATACGCGGATATCAACAGAAATCTCTGAGAGCTAATTTCGTCTAGTTTCATCTTTTGTGGATACTGGCCCTTGAAACGAGACATTCATTTGGGAACGCAGACTACTGTAATTGATGACAATACAAACCAATGTTATCCGAAGATGGCGATTGCATGGACGGAACTGTACTCGCCGAACTCGTATGACTGCCACTGTCGAGAGTGAATGAGATATTTTCTAATCTGAACAGCTCAGACATAGATTCAATCTTATTCGCTTATTAACATCAAAAATATTGACATTACTTAAAAGATTATCAGAAAGAACTGATAAAATAATGATAAACTAAAAAACTGAAACAACGATAATGTCAATAACAATAATAATTATGGTAACAATAATAATGATAATAGTAAAAGTAAGAATACTTATGATAGTAATAACAATATGATAGTACTAAACAACAATAATAATAAATAATAATACCCCAACATAGCGTTAGTGCCAAGACTTTGTGTTTTGCGATGACCGAAAGAAGTTTTTGGTGTAGTTTGGTGATGCGTTAATTGTGGTGTGAGCGAATGTGAATACGAAGTATTATTAGTGGTGGAATAGTCATTATAGTTGGAACGATTCAATCGTATTCGCGGTAAGGAACCGAGTTTTTTGGTGAACGACGAACAACTTAAGAA